TACTGAACTACAAGGAGTTTTCCTCAGCTAACAACCAGAGTTTGCTTTCTGGGTGGCTTTTCTACTAACGTAAAACGTAGCTCAGGATTTCAGATAGCTCTTGGGGCACTTAGGCCAAATTTGAAATGAATCTAGATATTATTTTTTTGTTTTATTTGGAAAACTTCTGTAGATCGTAGGTGCTGCATGTTTTCAATCTGTGTCTGGTATTTGCTTTGAATCTTTGGGTCCGTTGGAATCCAAAGCCAAAAAGGTTCATGCAAAGTGTTGTGACCCAAAACTGTTTAATCTTAGATCTGCAGTCTCGGAGCCTGCAGCCCAACTTGGATACCTGATGAGTATCAGCTGAGCAAGCATCGCAGGATCTGACTTCTGCCCATGAACCATAAACCTTTTCCCCAGGGAACAAGAAAGTAAATTGGCCTTTGTGCAGGAACAGCCAGCTAGACCGGGGCTGCAGTTTCCTCGTGCTCAATACCAGACCCCGCGGTACACTGCTGCAAAGTTCTCCTTCCTTCTAAGTGAAGCCATATGAAAAAAAAAAAAAAAAAGAAATCCACTTTTCTGAGAGCGGCTGAACCAACCAATTTGTTCAAGCTATTCTTCTGGTCAACTCATTTTTAACTGAAAAAACGCGGCTATATTGAAGGCAACTTGAAAAATGCTGAAAGTGAAGAAGGGGAAACAGAATTTAAACTATTTAAAGCTCACGGGGGAAAAAAAAAAAATAAGTGCAAGCACACGAGCAGGTAGACCGTCCAAAATGATGTAAAACTTAATCCCATGTTAGAGCGTCATGAATTAGATATGAGTTAATCTACAAAATAAGGGCCTAAAAGTAAGCTCAACGCTGATGATTAACAGGTCACAACGTCATTAGCTCGCTGTGTCACACTTGCAAGAGAAGAAAATCCTCTGATTTAACGGTATCCAGTAAGATATGTCTTCATTTCACTTGGCTAAGGTTTTTACCTGAATGTTTTTCTCGACTACTTCTTTGTATCAACATACTCCCCAAAAAGTCCCTGAGAGCCTTAGCGGCAAATGGCTTGAAGAAAGAGATGGGCACAGTTTATGGTGATTATGTCTGTAAGTTGTCATATATAGAGTGCTTATAAGAGAAGTGTAAGTGAAAAGATAAAGCCATTCTGGTGCCACAAGTTCCTGGGTAAAAATGTGCTTCACATCCAGCAAGCACCAGCTATCGCCAAGTGAGGTTTTGCTGGGCTGTGATATCAGGCTCTCTTTCTTGCTGGCATTTTAAACTCACTTTATCCTTGATGAACATTGATTTTACTTTATTACGCCTAACAAGAAGGCAGGCAGTGATTTGCCCATCAAGCTGAAGGGACAGGAGGCAGTGACAGAGCCTCCCAAGCCTGGGAACGCGGGTGAAGGACCAGATTTGATTTAACTACATGGGGTGAAAAGATGTTAAGCACGCGTAGTGCCATAGACATGTTTTACTGGTACTGATGGATGACAGTGTTCACCGAGCAGCCTGATTTACAATTATACAATTTGCAATGGGTAAATTAGTTCAAACCAGGGTAATTTACTGCACTGTGGACAAGTACATGGTTTGGGCTTTTGTCAATATTTTACGTGAACTATAAAGTTATGTTGCTTTTTAATATTTCATTTCCTTGCCCACAGTAGATGACATAAGCAAAGTCAATCGAGTCTCTTTACGGTGAACTTTTTACCTCGTTTCTGAGTAGCTATTCTTTACATGCACCATCAGCTCTCCCTCATAATGTTTCCAAATATCAATATATTTCATTCTCTTCCTTTGTCTTTGGGTTACTAAATCTATCAATTTTTTGGAAAGCTTAGTGTTGTCAGAAATTGCATATTATGCCCTGGATTAAGGCTGTTTAGCTTGAACGTGACAAGTTGTTTAAAAATAGATTGGTTTATGCTTTGTATTCGTTCTCCTCTCCAAAACTGTCTCTCCTAACAATGTAAATAAAGAACTCCCAGAACTGATACAGCCGAGCTGGCATGGTTAGAAGAAAAGGCTCAGCTATTACCCAATTGACATTAATGCAACATAAATCTTAATTATATTGAACAAGCATCAAACTGCAAGGTTTTAGGAGATGAAGTCATTAGGTAACAGTTTACAGTGAACATTTATCTTCAAACAAATTCCCAGGCCTCCTTCATTTCCTTTGTAGTCTCTTAAGGGGGTTGGAAACAAGAGGTGTAATATGGATTCACTTTATGCCCAGCTCTTTTAGCAGTATCCAAAGTTGACTCCCCAGCACAGGCTAGAAATTGCTAAAATAATAATTTCCACTCATGGAGACCACGGACTTAATCACATCTGCACAGGACGAGGTTGCAGATGGAGTTAACGACTCCTGGGTTACTCCTGCATGCTGTTGTCTTGCTGAGGGGAGCGGGAGGTCTCTGTCCTTCCGCTCACCCACATCTGCATCGCAGGATTGCAACTTGCAAGTCTTCCCCAAAGTGGATACTGGGTGTGATAGTCTTCCTTTTAATCCCCACTAAAATTTTCTCTCTTCAGAAATGTTTCTATATTCAGCTGGAATTCCATATGACACCGGGATTCTAGATGTTGTTTCCAAAATATTTTTTTTTACCAAATTGCTTTCAGATTAAAACAGCAAATAGAACAGCTGAGAATATGTTTGGTTGGGTTTTTTTCTCTCTCCACTTTGATTTATCTCACAGTTGCCACAAGTATGCTATACTTGTAATTCCATGTGCTGCGCTATCTTGCAGATTTCCTTGAAGACTGTAGGGAGAGAATTACAGGATCACAGAATCGTAGAATGGTTTGGGCTGGCAGGGAACACTGAAGGCCATTTAATCCAATCCCCCTGCAATGAGCAGGGATGATCAGCTAGATCAGGTTGCTCAGAGCCCGGTCCAACCTCACCTTGAATGCTGCCAGGGATAGAGTGTCTGCCACTTCTCTGGGCAGCCTGTTCCAGTGTAGGTAATAGTTTTTCCCTTTGATGTGTAGTATTAAAAGAAATCCCTTAAACTTAAAAAAAAAAAAACCCACAAAACAAACAAACAAAAAAAACCACCAAAAATCAGTCTTTTTAAACAGAATCTTTGGTTTGTTGCAGGTTTCTCGCATCCTCAGTTGAAAGGCACCAACATGAGCTTTATGTGGGAGCTCCTTGCACTCACCCTTCAGTATCAGCCATTCTCTAAGTTGCATGAAAGCATCGCTACCAACTCATTAGTCACTTGTTTAAAAACTTGGCCTCGGTCTCCTACAGCTTCATTAGGCTATTTCCTCCTCCCTAAGAAACCCGGGGCTTTCTCAGCATTGCTAGCAGAAGAGGTAGAGTAGAATCACTACTGAGGCACCCTAGATTAACTGCATCCAGGAGGAGTCTATCAAAAGACACGAAAGGATGAAGCAAGGCTAAAGCAGCCCCCCACAGCCCGGGGGAAGGCTGCAGCCTGCTGAGGCTCAGGCTCTGCCCAGGGCTCAGACCACAGTTAGCCAGGAGAGCGGTACAGGTAGATTAGCTTTAATCAGTCATGTCTGGTCTCAGGTTGGAAAGGGTGCTTCATCAGGGTTGTGGTTTCCCTCCAAAGCAGCTTGAATTCAGGCTGGAGGGAGTAAACGTTCCTCCTGGGTGCAGTGTGGTATAATCATCTACTTGGCTTGAAGAACTAAGGAGGCTGAAAATATGTGGGTGTTTTTTTTTTTTCATTGGATGTTGTTATTTTGGTTTGTTTTGGTTTTTTTTTGGCGAGCATGTTTCTTAGGGAGCTGTGATAGATGTTTTCTACCCTGGGCTTCTGGCTGCAAGCTGCCATCCCCATAGTGAGAGGAGGGAGAGGGGTTGGAGCTCCTGCTGCCGCCCAACCTGCGAGGGCAGGGGTGTCTGCTGGGGACAGGCACTGCCCTACCGCCCATCCCAACTTTAAAGAGAAGAACTCCAGACCATGGCTGGAGACTCAGTTACACATCTGGGCACAGAAATGTTTATGCAGCAGGGGAAATCTTGATAGGAGTGCAGAAAGAAATATTTAACAGTCTTAGTTTATCATCCTTTTCCCTTAAATCTAAAAAAGAAAGCAGTAAGAAAGAAGAGGGAGCAGTGTAGTTTCACAGATAAAAAGCAAAGTCTTGCTTTTCTTTGTTAACATTGCTGTCACCCAGCAAATGCTCCTCTGGAGTCAGCTGACCTGCTGCAGAAGGCTACAAAAAGTGACTTTTTGTCCCCATCTGGCAACGGGGGTGTTGCAGGAGCGTGGATGCTGCCAGCTCCCGGGCAGGGAAGCCTTGCTCCAGCCAAGAGGCTGCAGCACATCAGCCAACAGCACGAAGGACATGGCATTATTATGGCTTTGTCAGGGACCTGGATGCTCAGCATGTGCTGGAGCAGTGTCCTGCATCTGGGTTTATTGTTTAAATGCCTTTTTTTTTTAATTAAGGGTATTTTGTCATTGATTGGTATTTGATCAATCTCTTAGCCATTGCTACCCAGAAGGGTAAGGATACGAGCAAGTTTTATATCTGAAATTATAAATGTATGATCAGATGGAGGCTGTGTTATCAGCCTGCACAAAAACTTTCTGACTCAGATAACGATTAGTAGCAAGAGGTTTCTGTTCCTCACTTCAGTACTTTAAATATTATGATTTGCAGGACTGTGACAGCTCTTTACATGGACTGTGCAGAGCTGCCAGCCACTCTGCAGAGTTATTGCCAGAATTTTTGGAGCATTTAAGACCTTGTTCCCTCTATGTGGGCAACACAAATGACTTTAAAACCTGCTTCTCAGCTTGCCTAAGAGCCTGGCCTTGGCTTTTTCATGAAAATGTTATCTTTTGTGAAAGAAGTGGTATTTAAGATGTGCAGCCTACTATCTTTTTGGTAGTTGGGAAAGGGGGGAAGACACAAGGTGGTCCGGATCTGAAGAGGAGGATGAGGTGGGGGGTGTCTCCTCCTGAACTTACTGCCCGTGGGGCATTGCTAACCCTCTTCTCTCTGCTTTCCACAGGCCCTCCGGGGAGGCGGGGGAAGCCCGGCCGGCGTGGAGAACCCGGTAAGCATCACCTTTCCTTTCCCTAGTGGTGTCACTGGGGCTGGATGGGAGCCTTTCGATAATGCTGGTCATCTTCATCCAACGGGCTGCAGGATGGGGGCTTCCCACATCCCTGCATGCTGGATACTAAGGTTTTTATAAAAAATAAACCAAAACCCTAAAAAAACCCCCAACATCCAAACAAACCAAAACCCCCAAAACTAAACAGAAGAAAATTCAATTCACAACACCCACTCATCTTGTATATTTTATCTGTCCTTCCATTTCTCCCACGTACCATTCAGACCCATTGTTATCCAACAGTGAAATGGGACTGTGAATTAGCACAAAAATACAAATATAGAAAAAAAATATAGAAATCCCATAGCCATGCTAGATTGTTCCCTGCGTTGGGATGTGTCCTACATTGCTCGCTGCTCCCACACATGTGGTGGGTGGTGTCTGCACTGCGGGGTTGGGGATAACCAAACCTCAGCCACCAGCCTTGGGCACATCCCCTGAGCGCTCCGTGTGCCCTCGGACCGGGTGAAACCGCAGACTGGCCTCGCTGGGAATTTTTATTTGAGCTAACTGTTTGCTTTAATTATGTGCCTCTGTCATTTTGGTATCTAGCGGGTTGGGTTGTTTTTTTTTCCTGTCTTGTGAAATGGGAAAGCACCGATCCCATTTCAGCTGGGGAGAAGAGCTGTTGAAGTTCTGCTGTTAGGTCTGAAGTACTGTTGGAGAGGGGAGAGACATGGTTAGCATTGCTCTTTCTAAGGAAAACAGACAGGAATGTACCTAGAAAGTCACACAGAGTTTGCATCCGCCTCTGCATGTCAGAAAGTAGCAGATTAAGAGCTGAGAAGCATAAAATTTAGGTTCTTGACTGTTGACAGAATGAATGGGGACCAGGGAGATTTTTATTTAGTGAGGAGGCTCTTTCTCTGCTGCCTGTTGCTATAGCAAATACATGGCTGAGTTTTCAAAAAGGGCAGCATAACTTTCCAATCACCAATATCTTTAACTCTGGGGAAAGAAAATCAGGGGATTTGTGATGTGGACCATGGACTGATCTCCATGGACGGCAGGCAGGCGTTTCCCTTCTCTCTTCCACTGATGCTATTTCACAGTGCATTATGTGTTTTCTGAGATTTTTATCCTGAAGCATCAGGGATTTCTCATGACCAAGAGATGGGTTCTACACTCGTGCGGGTGGTGATGGATCCCAGACAGCTTCATTAAACCCCATTTTCCTAGGAATAGCCACCAGGTAGCTTTTTTTTTTTTTTTGGTTGGTTGGTTGGGTTTTTTTAATATTACTAGGGGCTTTAAGGAACACAGTGGAGTACAGTGCAAGGGCAGCTGGTGAGGTCAGCTGATGAATTTGTCTTTTATATGCAGGCATTTATGTAAATGTTGTCCGAGATGTGTCTCTAGACCATACAAAAACCTGGGAAGTAGCAATGACTTTGAGTATGCCCTTGGCCTTTGCTCCTTTCTCATGTGAGAGCTTATGAAGAGTGATGTTTGCCCTCATGCTGCAGCACGTCCACAAGTGTCACTTGAGCATCCCTCTGATGCATTGAAAAGCTGCCAGGGAATCAACGCACGACCAGCAGGAAAACAAGCATTATAAAAGAAAAAAAAAAAAATCAATCATTAATAACCACTGATGATCTTTTTTTTAAAGTTTTTTGCAATTGTGGAGAATACAGCAGCTGCCCACGTGCACACAAATGCTCGCACAGACATGCTCCATGGGGCACACCAGTTAAATCCCTGTAATGCAACGCAGCCCCTGCGGATCGCTCCGCTGCACTGCAGAGAGCAGACATCCCTCTGTATATTGGTTTTGGCCAAGCTGCCAGATGTTTGTTTTCATAGATAGCTTGAATATATATTTCTCTATTTGTTTGAGAACCTGACCACACATAAACCAGGTCCTTGTTCCTTCGCTACAGCTGATAAATGTGAATAAAACTTTGTTTGTGTAGCACGAGAGTGTCCATCCCCAGGGACCCTGCGTGGTTATGGCTTTACAGCTTCCAGACAAATGCTGCTGTAGAGCCAGAAGACTCAGCACTGGTCTCAGCCCTGCCAAGCAGCGCACTTTTTCTGGCAATTGTTGAAATGGGTCATGTTGAAAAACTTTTTCTGATTCATATTGAAACTTTCAACATATATATCTTAGAAACAGAGAAACTTTTAAGAGATCGTTCTGTCCCTTTTCAATTGCACCCTCCTGTTGATTTAAACCAAGACTAAATTTTACTTTTTTCTTTTGCCATGGTGGATTCATGTAATTAAAAAAAAAAAAATTCAACAGCTCTGTTTCTCTAAACCAAGAATTCATCATCCTGAAACCATGCTGAGACAACTGCTATCTACCATAGAAAGACACCATACCATAAAAGATTTATTTTAAACCATTTCTAGGAGAAAAGTTAACCATTTCAGATGGTTTAGAAACGGGGCAAGCCTGGCTGCATGTGCTTCAAAAAGCACATACCAAAATGTGGGGGTGAAGCACCGTTGCTCCCTCCTGACTTCCCTGTGGGGAGCTGCCAAGGGCAGGTGGTGGGTCCTGCTGGGGCTGTACCTCTGGGCTTGGCTTACTGTATTTTTTTTGCTGAGAAGCGTAAAGACAACAAGGGAGGCTGTGCTAAACCCCAGCATTTCCTTGCGCTTCGCATCTCCGGTGGTGGCTCAGGCTTCCCGTGGTGGCACAGTTGTCCTCACTGTCATCTCTTCCCTGACCTCAAACGTGAAGACCAGGTACCCTGGGGGAGCATTTCTGCTGCTGTCAGCCCAGTTGAACAAACCAGGGAGTATTATTTTATTTACTCTCTCTGTCATCTGAGCCCATGGGAGTCGCCGCTGCAGCAGGGGAGCAGTGTCCTAGAGCTGGTCCCAGGGATGGACTCGCTGTAGGGACAGTCACCTGAGTGCTGTCAGTGTGGAAGAGGTTACTTTTAAAAACCAATTTACTCTGCTGTGGCTACCACGAGGCCAGGAAATTCACACCAGCAGCCTCCTTGAGGAGGTGTCACTCCTGAGCTGGCCCTTGGGCACTCTGCTCCCATCCTGCCAGGACCAGCACACAGGTCCCATCATCTTTATTCCTGCACATGAGCTTCAGGAGTTTCTTGCGCAGCTGGAAAAGCAAGCACAGCCTTGAAGACCCACCCCTGGAAACAGTTGGTGTATAAAAAGAAAAACATATTTTCATTACAACCTTCCATGGGATTTGCCACCTTCTCCAAGCGTGAAGCGGGAAGAAGGTTTTGCAGCACTAGCTGTCATGGCTGGTCCTGACAGCCAGCCTGCATGTCTCAGATACAGTTCTCTTCCCATGCCGAAGGCAAAATCGCGTTTAATGTCACGTCAGCTTATTTTTTTAACGCGATGTGTCCCAGTGAGGACGCAGTTGTAGTGAGCGTTTGTGAAATAACATGGATTTTAGCAGGGGACCTGAGAGGTTTTGCTTCCCCTCTTGCTGCCAGCTGGTGCTGCGTGAGCGGGATGGGATACGGATGCGCAGCCCTCCCAGGGCTTAATGTTTATTTTTGTAAAGATCGATCCATACCGGGGTGTTCCTGAAGAATGGACGAATCGGATCCAGGATTGGGGGATGTAGTTGGTTGAAATAAGAGTTCAAACCCCCTGTACAACGAGACGGTGGGGGGTGATGCTCGTGTCTCTCGCAATGGCATGCTGCTTTCTTCTGGCTTGGAGATCGATCCAAAAACTGATCTGAACCACAAAATCCTTCAAGAAAAAACAGGAGAAAATACAGGTGAAATGTTAAGTCTGGGAAGCCTCTGAATGTGTCTCTGCTCTCCTCACGTGAAGCAAGAGCTGGTGCTGGACACAAACACCCAAAGCTGATCACTGCGGCGTTGGGTAGCACCTATTTGCATCGCCTGCTTCAGGAGGAGGGAATAAATGTTGGCCAGTTGAGGCACAAAATTGCCCTTGCAGGTAGGCCTAGAAGGACATTTTTTGATTTCACTGGAAAATGTTGACTTGGCAAAATTGCTGTTTCTGGCAGTAAAAGTTCTGTTTACAAAATTTTTCCATTTCAAAAACACTTGTAGGGGAAATATTTTGAAATTGTTGAAATGGGATAAAAGTCTTCTGCCCCACCTCCCCCATGACTTTTGGTTTCCAAATTTACATTACACTACAACTGTTTCTTCAGTCTGAACTTCTAACAAAGTTTTGATTCAAAGCTTTTTTGGTTTTTTGATTATTTTTTTTTTCCTTACAGCTATTCTGTTTACAGAAATATGCTGATTTGGAACAGGGAAGAATCTAAAGCTCTTTTTAAGGAACAAAACCAAAGCAATTTCTGTGCAGGGAAACGTTATTTCTCTCCCAGTCCTGTGTGTACTTAAACCCTGCATTTTACACATTAAGACCCTTTCTCAAACCCCTTGCCCATGTGGTTGTGTGGACAAGTGTAAATATACAGTTGTTGTTACTCAGTAAGCACGTGTGCATGCACGTGGGGGTAAATCGGGCAGAACTTTGTATTTATTTGGTGATTTTTCATTGCTCCCCATATTTCTCATAAATTGCATACATGTACCCTAGTGTCCAAGGAGTGCTTTGGCTTCTAATGAACTTTAGGCAAAAATCTAATCTGTCCCACATTTGGTCTCAATAACAAAGCCTGCTAGGAGAGCATATTCCTCGTGAACACCAGTGCGGAGGTCAACAGGCAGTGACAAATACAGTTTTTCAGGCTGATGTAGAGCCAGTCTCTGTGACTTCTTATGACTGTAGCAGTTGTCCTTCCTTGCTGCCCATGACTTAGTTACACCCCCTATAGCATCCAGGATTAATAACTGTGTGTATGCGTGTACATATTGTGTGTGTATAAATATGCATACATATGGTTTTATATAGATATTTATGTATACACATTTTTTAAATTATCATTTTTTTACATCTTCTCGTGGCTACAGACGTGTGTGTGCTCCTTTGCCCATGAAGGGCAGCCACAAAGTCCCCTCTGACTCTTCCTGAGCTGTTGGAAGGGTCTGGCTGGTTTTGTTTCCCCCACCTGGCAGTTCTCTCTCCTGTTATGGCAGGAAAGCTTGCATGATAAATGATTTACAGATTAAACAGAAATGGTAGCTTATCCCAAAGCTCCTAAGATGCAGAAATACTTGGAAATAAATGGCTGTGACCTGTCATTTCCTATATGTTTGTGTACTGCCAGGGATGATGCTACTGTGACCTGCAAGGTCTTTGGATATACAAAATAACATTAATGTTAGTCAATCAGGAAATCTGGGTCATTTATTTTTAATGAGTTTCTATTTTCACCTCCCACTAGCACAACTGTTCATGTTCCTAAGGAATTCCTTGGTGTTTCCAAATACCTCCATGTCCTCGCAGGCTCAGGTACTAGTTGCTCAGTCCCAGCAGTACAGCAGTAACGTGGCATGGCACCTTTCCCTTGTTTACAGCAAATTGTAAAGCAAAACCTGTGAATTTGAAGGTTATTTTGTCTTTCTCCTCTTCCTTCTGAAATAAGCCCCCAAGTTCATTTGTAGGTTGTTTTAAATACACAAAGACTGTTTCCAACTTTTATTCATTATAAGAAGAATTTCCAAGTGGTTTCATTCTTCCTTTTGAGCTCTCAAACCGATTCTCACTAGTCAAAATTATTAGCAGTAAATTCTAGCAAATTTCTCTGAAAAGAGCATGTCTCTTGTGCAATGTACCCACATCAAGGAGATGGCCGGGTGGGGGACAGCCCCTGAGTACACGATTAACTTCTTTATTTATTGTTGGCTTGCAAAATATTTGACTTTCTTCCATAGGAAACAAGTGTCTGGTGGCTAGGCGTTTGAAAAACACGTTCAGCAAGCCAGAAACTTACGCTGTTCTTAGGAGAAAAGATCAGTTCAATAGGTTTGACTTGGTACCTTTCATGAAGATTTACTTAGTCCCGTTTGGCCAACAGCGCAGCTAAAGATCAGCGTAACTCCGCTGATGCGGATGGAGAGCGTCCCATGTTGCATGTAGAGACCTCCCCCCATCCATCTCTGATTCCTGTATTTGAGAAGAAAGTATTTTAAAAGAGCACTTGCCTGCACATGTTGGGAGAAAACAGTAGCTGAGAAAAGGCGAAAGGCAATGAATTCCAAGGAGATTATAATTGGTACACGATCGAAATCCTATATTAAAATAACTTCCTGATCGCTCCTTATTTGGGGTTTAGTTTTGACTTTTCTACAAAAGGGCTTTTGTGGGTAGCTTGGCGTGAGTTAATAAATCAGGTTTATGATTCTCAGTTAATAACTTGGCATAGAGCCACTGGCTTCTGTATTCGTAAGAAATTAAACCAAGGAAAGTGAGCTTAAGAGCCCGTGTGAATTTTAGCACTAAAGAACAGAGGCTTTTGGGCATGGAGGGAGATCTGGAGGTTGTCTCCTCGTCTCCATGCTGGCCAGGTGCTTGCCCGCGGTTGTGCGTGTGGAGCTGCCCACGTTAAGCTGATGAACACAGGTTAATGGGCTAATTCTTGGCAGCAGGCGCTGCCTGTCATTACTTGCTTTCAGTCTCAGGCTTTTCTTGGGGTTTGTCATTCCACTTTTCAATGTTCTAATTTTTAAACAAATTTTAAAACCTTCTAAATGCATTAGCTTGAAATATGCTTCTTGTTTTATATTCTTGAATGATGAACCAAGCTGATTTCCCCCCCCCCCC